TTTATGCATTATTTCAGCCACATAGCAACATAAGTTGAAACACCATTCAGTTAAAGCCAGCTGGATAGGTTTCTGTCATGAAAGTGCTGAGCATGATTCAATCTGTTATTGTGATTTTTATAGCACTTTTTACCACTGGAAAACTCAGGGCTATTAGGAAAGTAAATGTGCATTATATGGGCACTGGTCAGACGATTGGGCAGGTCAGTTGGACAGCTGGTTCCAGTTGTCTGGGGGTTAACAATTTCTCCCTGCTCAACTTTTATATTTTTACAAAGGATTTCAAACCCAACAACTTTCTCAGAATGATTATCATCAAATTCTGGCACTATACTGTGGGGATTTAATGATTTAATCAGTTATGGAAGAGTTATGGCCCCTGTTTTTTTATTTTATATAATTATGAAATATTGGCCGAAATCCTGGTTTAATGACAACATCCTGTTAGGATTTTTTTATATATATAAAAGGCAAATGATAAACAAGACTTTGATGTAACTGTTAAAGTTCAACAAGTGTGTTCATCTTGACAACAAATTTTGTGGTTTAGGTCCAAAGTGTCATAAATTTAGTGGTCTAAGTCTGGACAATTTTTTGGTGGTGATAAAATAAATTTGCGGTTTGTTCTTTTTTGAAGCTGGACATTTTTCACATTTTTTTTTGAATAAGGAATGAATGAGTGGTAAAAATGTTTGTGAATGCATGACAAAAAAAAGGAATGTGAGAAGAAATAGAGAGTTCTCAAATCTATATTGATTTTGGCATGATAGCTTAATAATCAAATAATGCAGAATTTTATATGAATGAACATGTAGTAGTATTATTAAAGTGTAAAAAAGAGATCCTCTCTTCTATAGATTGGCACCTGAAGACATCAATTAATATTGAAAGCAAATAAAATGACCTATTTTGAAGAGAAAAAAAAGTTGGTATATTAATCTGGCACAGTGATATTGGAATTTTTAACTTGGAAGATGATATCTGAGTAGGTGGGTTATTTCATATTCATGCAAGATATTTAAATACAGGGGTGTAATACAAGTAGAGGTCATGTTTGCTTTTGGTTTACAACATAATTGTCTTTTTGTATATCATATTAAGTATAATAGTAAATTAATCACTGCATTTAGGTACTAATTCTATCTTTCATTTGATGCCTTCTTATTTATTTGTCCTAGGAGAATGGTTCAAACTTTTCAATCTGAATATAATATTTTAGATGCTAAATGATATTCCTTTCTATAAACTTTAGGTACAAATTTTGTACTTTAATGCAGTTATTATAATGTCTGTTAGATAGAAATATATAATTAAATTGTAGATTTTAGAAATTAACAAAAAAAAACAAACAAAAACAAACCACACTTCCTAATGTGAATATATATTCACTTGTGAGTCTAATTGCAGACGGTAATAAGTAACTGGTTTATTGCCTGAGCTGAGCCTTGATATGACATATGCGGGACCTAATAGTACAGTTGGACAATGTTGCAATATTGTCACCCTAGCTGGAGATAAATACCTTTTTGGAATTGAAAGTGATTAACTTTTGTCATCAGTATCATAAGAGCCTGGCCCGAGTCTACATAACATTGCTGTCATTACTAGGCTCCGTACCGTTGTTTAATCAACTTGAAAATTTTTCATCTTGATGTTTCAAAAATTAAAAAAAAAAAAAAAATAAATAAAAATATTTTAAGATATTCAGCAGGTTAATTAGATTAATACACAAACAACTTCAATTTTATATATTGATGTACAGTATCAAATTATATACAGCAAGGACAAATTAATTTTATTTATAATTTAGTGGTGAAGGCTAAATCAACTCATTAGAAACTGACTTCTAAGAATAATTGTTATTGTTATCTTTCTGTATACAGATGTATCAGGAAATGATTTGTGGTGCAAACTTATTGACATACTGTTTGTTAAATCATGTGCTCCAATTGTATTATTATTCAACCCTTACCACCCTAAATATATTAAATGGACTTGTCCGTTTTTCAATCTGGACTTAACCATTCCATTATTTTAGGGAAAATTTCAAAAAATATACTGGTACTACTCTTTTAAGGAGTATATTCCTGGGTTAACTCTTTATATACATAATATTATAATTAAATAGGAATCCTTACTGCATTGAGATTATAATGTATTGACCAATATGAATATTAAACATATGTTATATAGCAGGGACATATAGGTTTGAAGTCAGTGAGGTCAATATCAAGATTATTTGACTGAGGGGCTATTAATGATTTTTATGCTCCCCGAAAAATTTCGGGGGAGCATATAGTCGGCGCCTTGTCCGTCTGTCCGTCTGTCTGTCCCTCCGTCTGTCTGTCCGTTGTCTTGTCCGGAGCATAACTTGAAAACCCTTGGCGATAATTTGGTGAAACTTCATACAGTGGTAGAGGGCATCGAGGGGGAGTGCAGTGTCAAAGAACCGTAACTCTATTTTGCCCGGTTTTTGAATTATCTCCCCTTATAGAAAAATCTTGTCCGGGGCATAACTCTAAAACTATAAGAGATATCAACATGAAACTTTGTAGGTGAATAGATCTCAATGGGTAGATGTGCAGTGCATAAGAACAATAACTCTTTTCATCCTAATTTTGGAGTTATTGCCCTTTGTTAATTTTAATACTTTGAACTTTGTCCGGAACATAACTTGAAAACCCTTGGAGATAATTTGTTGAAACTTCATACAGTGGTAGAGGGCATCGAGGGGGAGTGCAGTGTCAAAGAACCATAACTCTATTTTGCCCGGTTTTTGAATTATCTCCCCTTATAGAAAAATCTTGTCCGGGGCATAACTCTAAAACTATAAGAGATATCAACATGAAACTTTGTAGGTGAATAGATCTCAATGGGTAGATGTGCAGTGCATAAGAACAATAACTCTTTTCATCCTAATTTTGGAGTTATTGCCCTTTGTTAATTTTAATACTTTGAACTTTGTCCGGAACATAACTTGAAAACCCTTGGAGATAATTTGTTGAAACTTCATACAGTGGTAGAGGGCATCGAGGGGGAGTGCAGTGTCAAAGAACCATAACTCTATTTTGCCCGGTTTTTGAATTATCTCCCCTTATAGAAAAATCTTGTCCGGGGCATAACTCTAAAACTATAAGAGATATCAACATGAAACTTTGTAGGTGAATAGATCTCAATGGGTTGATGTGCAGTGCATAAGAACAATAACTCTTTTCATCCTAATTTTGGAGTTATTGCCCTTTGTTAATTTTAACACTTTGAACTTGAACTTTGTCCGGAACATAACTTGAAAACCCTTGGAGATAATTTGTTGAAACTTCATGCGGTGGTAGAGGACATCGAGGGGGAGTGCAGTGTCAAAGAACCATAACTCTATTTTGCCTGGTTTTTGAATTATCTCCCCTTATAGAAAAATCTTGTCCGGGGCATAACTCTAAAACTATAAGAGATATCAACATGAAACATTGTAGGTAGATAGATCTCATTGAGTAAAGTTGCAGTGCAAAAGAACCATAACTCTGTTAAGCCTTATTTTTGAATAATCTCCCCTTTTAGAAAAATCTTGTCCAGGACATAGCTGTAAAACTATAAGAGATATCAACATGAAACTTTTTAGGTAGATAAATCTCAATGGGTAGATGTGCAGTGCACAAGAATCATAACTCTACCTTGCCTAATTCTGGAGTTATTGCCCTTTGTTTATTTTTACTTTTTGAATTGTCCAGGACATAACTCGGAAATCATAAGAGATATCATCAAGAAACTTTGTAGGTTGATAGATCACATTGATTAGAAGTGCATCACAAAGAACTCTAACTCTGCCTTGCCTAATTTTGGAATTATTGCACTTCGAACTTTTTCCACGGACATAACTCTGAAACTACAAGAGGTGTACTTTCCTGTGTCCAAAACCTATTCGGGGAGCATCACCCGGCTGAAACCGGGCTCTTGTTAATCAACTTTTTTTACCTGTTTAGAAATTAATTTTAATCTTTTTATTGGACATGATTGTTTAAAAAGTACACAAAAGAGGCAATGAATTAAGTCTTTATATTGACTAGGTGTGCTATAGAATATGTAAGAATTTTAAGTTTTTTTGCAATTTTTCATTGCAAAAGCACCTGGGCAAATTACTGCCTTTGAACTTGGTTATCATAATGTCTATATAAGTGTCAAATCTTTATTGCTATCATAGTGACGAAACACTTACTAGTATCACATATAATCAGTTGTTGTTTTGCAAGCATTGACAAGTTGACTAAACCTTGTTGTATCACATGGCCAATTTCGCAAATGATATGAAATTGTACTTGACCTGCAGATAATTTATTTCTCTATAAGTTAATTATAAATATTGTTTTACTATTATTTTGGCTGTTTTATGATACTTGTGTGTTTTTATGGGAATAATATACCTTTCAAATCCTTTGGTTAGTTATAATTGACACAGCACTGTAAGCCTGTAAAGTATAATGTTTTACCATTTAAAAACCTGAACCAGGCCAGCCTACTGTTAGTCCATGCATCTGTACTTCTGTTGGTCATTCAGATTAATATATTTGTTTCTTGCTGGCTATTAAAATTAATTTATTTGTTTCTAAAATCCCTAAAGAGCAAGGCAAGTCTGGTGTTATATTAATTTAGCGCTGATCTCTATTATCAGATTATGGCACTGTCAAAAATAATTGAAGTGCATGAACAACCAAAGTATCTTTATAGAGTCGTTTTAAGTGCCATGCTTGTGTCAAAGGCAAGTTAAAAGAAATCAAGTTTGTACATATCAGCAGCTACAGGGTTTAGATCAGACTGGAAAAAAAAATTGATATATCTAGGTCTTTGAACTTTATAAGAGCATGTATGGCCCCTTTTGAACCTAAACCTCTTTATGTGAAAAAGTTGTCAGATCCCTTTGGAAACAAACTGTTACCAGTAACCTTATTTTAAATCACTAAACATTCTTCAAATTTCTTAATAAAGTGTTTCTTATATTCTTCTTCCAGGAACAGAAGAATGGAAGTTTTTTCAAGGGGAACAACTGATGACACAGAAGATGACTTGCCTGTTGGTACTGAAGGTAGGTTACTTCCCTTTTAATTAACTTGCATGTTAAGAGATAACTTCCTCCTTATAGATATGCTTATTTATTTCAATATCTCTTTTTTTATTAGTATGTTATTGTTTGTATAAGTTAAACCAGATTATTTTATGATTTTGTTATTTGTATTCCATAAGAGTTGTGACCCTTGTTACTAGGAAATAGAGAGTGACATTAACATTAAGTTGTTACAAAAATTATTTATTTGTCTTAATTTACTTCCCCTGATCAGTACGACCAGCCCAGGGTACCACTGGACATAAGTCACTGTGAAGGTTTATTTTTATGGCCTTCATTTCTAATTTTTTGAATGACTTAATTCATTCTGTCCTTTTTTACACAAAGATGTTTGTCCTTAATTATTTGAGTGTGAGAACTAATAAAGTATTTATCAATAGTGTTGCACAAAGCGAAAATTGCCTTCTATGTTATTCAGTACTGTGGCAGAACTGTAGCAAAGTAAATCAAAGTACTATTGTACAGTTCTGCCAATCATTGAGAGATATTTGTCAATTGTTCCCTGATCAGGACTAAGAATTCCTTTATTTAAAGAAAATGTAGTTATTGGCTTGAAATTTGCTGGGTATCATGAAAAACAGAGGCTGCACTAAAAAAAAACACCATAAAATATAGGTTCTTTATTAACTCCTGTTTTTTGAAAACCACATAATTATGAGATATAAAAATATAAAACTTATATATTTCATGAATTCTAAGTTCTTTCTTTGTATCAATTATTCAGTGTATAAATATTGTATACATTCTTTATAATATATTGACATATAATAGTTATGTATTCATTGTATATTCCCATGTAATTATAATTGTATTTACTAACATTTTATTATTAACTGTTTCAGCAACATCTATTAACCAAAGGCGAACTTCTAGGGACACAAGGTAATCTTAATTTATGACCTAATTAAACTGATGCAGTTGACCTAATTTCAACTTTTTTAGTCCCCTACCGGTTTACCGGAGGGGACTTTAGGTTTACCCTCCATCCGTCTGTCTCTGTCCGTCAGTCCGTCTGTCCGTCCGTCAGTCCGTCCGTCCACAAAACTGGATCCCGCGATAACGCAAAAAGTACTGAAAATATTTTAATGAAACTTGATATATGGATGGATGGCAGTATGGAGATTATGCACGTCTTTTTTTTTTATTCCTATGTTGAAAATTCTGGTTGCTATGGCAACAAATAGACTGAAAATATGGCAAATTTTACACATAACCTGGATCCCGGGATAACGCAAAAAGTACTGAAAATATTTTTATGAAACTTGATATATGGATAGATGGCAGTATGGAGATTATGCACGTCTTTTTCTTTTCTTCCTATGTTGAAAATTCTTGTTGCTATGGCAACAAATAGACTGAAAATATGGCAAATTTTACACATAACCTGGATCCAGTGATAACACAAAAAGTACTGAAAATATGTTTATGAAACTTGACATATGGGTAGATGGCAGTATGGAAATAATGAACATCCTTTTCTTATCTTCCTATGTTGAAAATTCTGGTTGCTATGGCAACAAATAGACTGAATTTTAAGATTTCTGATTCTAGTTTTTAAGTTTTTTCACTATAAGTTCTTTATTTCTTAAGGTATTTTCTTCAAACTTTAAATATAAGTTGCTTGTCATCAACCACATCATATGTGACAAGGTTTACAACTCTAGCGCAAAATTTATCAGAATTACCTCCCTTGAACTTAAAATTTTCATGAAAAAAACATTTTTTTTTTAATAACTTCTTTTTCTGAATGTATCTACTTCAAACTTCATATAAATGTTTCTTATTCTTCAATACTCTACTAAGACTATTTCCAGAATTATGCCCCTTTTGAACTTAGACTTTTTTTTGAGAAATTGGTAATTTTTACTCCAACTTCTTCAATCATGGTAGGATTTTAAAAATGTTATATTTTGATAACAGGGATGTTTAAAAAATAACTTTAGAGTGTCCTTCAGTCCGTCTGTCTGTACATAAAAACTGTTTCCTGTGATCACTTTTAAAGAACTTTTTCAACAAATTTACTTAAAATAGGAACATAAGTGAATGGCCAATGGCCCTTTAGAATGTTGCTTGGGCTCTTACCGGTAGGGGACTTATGGATTGCTTGCAATACTATGATAATTGCTTGTTTTATTGGTTTTTAAGTCACACTAACACTGAAATGGTCATAAGGCAACTTTTTGGCTTGACTGTTAGAGGAAGACATTTGGTGCCCATCCGTGCTTGATTTCAGGACACCCAAGTAGAACCAACAATGCTACTTAAGCTAGCTTAATAACTTCCCTATATCATGGAATCCGAAGTCCTTGGTGGGATTCGAACCCACAGTGCTGAGGGGATTGAAGTCAGAGACAACACCTTTAACCACTCAGCTACAGATACCCCTATCATCTATAACATAATGTCTTGTCAAAATGTCATGCACCATTTGAATTTTGTCACTCATTGTACTAAATAATAAAATAAAAATAAAATTTCCAAGTATAATCTTTTTACAGATCTGTCAATTTTTGTGTCAACAATGAGCTATGAACATGTTTCTATCAATGACAATTAATCAAACATGCCTAAATTAATGACTATAATGAGCAAGTTTGTAATTATGTCAAAATAGTTGCTGTTGCAATTATACATACTGGTTGAAGAGATAACTCCGACACGTAGATAAACCCGACACTAGGTTTAATTTTTCAATTTATCTTTTCTTGTCAACAAACAAGGACATGGTCACCTAGTAATAAAGGAGAAGGACAGACTGTGATAAGATTTTTTAAATTTGGTAAACTTTTAAATGTGTTTATGTTGACCACAATTTTTTGTTACAAAAACGGCCACAAAACGTTCATTTTACTTAACTTCCAGACGGTAGTTAGAATTGTCTTGAACACAGGGTAGTGACTTGGGAAAATTTCTTTAAAAATTTGTTAAATTATCAATAAGGCATAGATAAAGCGTATAAAATGTAAAAATAAATGATTAGTTCTAATTTTCAAGCTAGTATTTACTTTAAAATTAAAGTGTCGACTTTATCTACTGTCCAGGGTTAAAAAGACCATGTTTCAGATACCTTATTCAGGACCTTAAGGAAGTACCAGTTTCCATTTCAAGAAAGGAAATTTGCATATGATTATAAAGGTTTGTTTAGGTGGGTAAAAATTTAAAATATACACAAAAATAAAAAAGATATTAAAATAAATAGTTATTTAATGTCGGAGTTATCTCTCCAACCAGTACACCACTCCAAAAAGAATGATAAAAAATATATATTATGAAATGTGCGACACAGATTTCACTTATAACTCAGAAGATTTTTGCTTGTTCAACAATATCAATGATTTTAATCTTTATTTTGACTACGAGATTCTATTAAATAAATGCTGAAAGAGTAGTGATAGCAACTTAATAAGATTTTCTTATGGAAGGTTACTGGTGACCCTCTGTATGCTTCATTTTGGACACAATCTTGCTTGTGGGGTTAAACCTGACTGTTTTAGCTCATAAAAGAAGACATGCAATGAGGTCAGCAACCTAAGAGCCACGGTTCACTGAAGCTGTTTATGTATTTTTCTATAACTGTGCATAAACTTTTTTGTTCTGCTTTGAGTATAACATTTTAAATTTTGTAAAGATTGAGAAAATGGTTTTTAAGAGTTCACAGGGGGTAAAATTTTGTTGAATCATGATGTTACAGTCTAGATACATCATGTCACATGACAATTTGTTTAAAATTTTATCTTAAATTATTTATCAAATGAAAATTAGATGGTACGTAAATTAGGGAAACATTTTGGGCGTATTTTTATTCATGCTAACTGAATATTAACAAAAAAATTAATAGGACTTCCATGGCATGTGAAAACAATTTAAAATTCCTCCTTTTACAAACATTTACTTTTTGAACTTAAAGTAAGTTTTGAAACAGTGTAAATTATGATAAATATTAGGCAAATATGCTGTTTAAAGTATAGATTAAGAAAAAGTGAGAAGTAAATGAAGAACATTTCTCTGGTGAAATTTCAAACTGGGTTCCAATTGTTGTTGTTAGTTAAAATCAATAGAATGGTGATCTCACATCAGAAATCAAATTATTTTTTCATTGCTGGTGTTTTGCACTACAGGTTTTATAATTCCTGTCAAATTTGATTGTCATGAAAATGCAAATGCACACACTCACATGCAAAAATTGTGAAGGAGTAGCTCAGAATTGGCATAGTGGTTAGATATGCCTGCATCTCAACCTAGTAGGGACAGTGGGTTTAAGCCCTATTTGATCATGACCATGTTCCCTCATTAAATTTTGGCAGCAGTGTTGGTTAGTTTCAGGAAACAGATTGGAGTGTCAAACAACCACTTAATATTCTTAGCATTATCAAGTAGAAAAATATTATGTTTGAACTTAAATAAGTAAAAATGTTTTGGACAAAATACAGATATAATAAAAAAAAAACATGGCATGAATCTCTGTAAGCCTTTATTTTCAAGTGTTTATTTCCAATCTTCCAGTGAATCAGATGATTCCAGATCAAAGAAGAGATTGCGCTGGGTGTCAGCCATTGAAAAATCACAGGGGACCAGTCTAAATTCTAACCTGACATCAAACAGCAGGTAAAAATATCATTGTAGTCACATAAAAACTTAGTGATCCTGTCATTACCTTGATGTATGGATAAGGAAGTCCTTGATAATGTCAAATCTATTGGTTTCTGTTCAGCTGATTGGGCTTATTTTTAACCCAGAAAAAAGATTTTTTATTTTCTGTTGCATAACAATATTCCATTATTGTGAGATATTAATTGTGACCGTTAACTTTTTAATATCAGGAAGAACAAAATGTTTGTAAAGCTTATATGTTGCATGTGTATTACATATTTAGCAGTTTTTATGTGTGAATTTAGAAGTTTGATATCCAAGAGTTAGAAAAGATCCTTTGTATTTTATTTAATTTTACAGACACATGACAGAGGATTTGAAAAAAAAATGTTTTGCATGAATAAGTGAAAAAGCATTGATATTGAATGCAAGTAATGGTTCACTTTAAAATATATAGAAAGTGAATTGTAATGTCACAGAAAATCAGACATATGGGGTTTATTTAAAGCCAGTTTTGAAATAAGGTTTAAGAATAGAAATGAATTTTATAGGATCTTTAAAAATAGTTCAGGCATTGGCCAGTTTAGCAGAGAACTAAATAACATGTTAATTCAAAGACTTTACAATACTGCACATTGTTTTGCTTTGTTTGATTATAATTAAAAACTACTTTAAAGTGGCCTTCAGCCTTTCTAAAGGTTAAATATGTTTTTTTTAGATAAATTATTTTATATTATTGTCCGATCAAAACAATTAAGATAGGAATTTGAAATTGCTGTCGATAAAATACATAAACAATAAGGAAACATTGATACCTCTAATCAACTAGTCCACTCTCTATATGTAAATTAGTAAAGTGGATTTGTTTCCCTATCTTCTATTTTTAGAAACAAACATCACTGGTTAGCTATAAATAGCTCTCGGGATGCTGTTTTGAAGATTGCTTAACAGTGATATGATTCATTTTTCAAGATAAATTTTTTTAAGTACTTAGAACTTTGAACAACAAAAATTTAAAGCGAAAGGCCCATTGAAAAATTGCAGTGGCTTTTTACACAGATAAAAAATTTTAATGTCACAAGATGGTCCACTGAAAGAAACCAATTTACAAACATGCAGTATTGTAAGGTCTTGTTCAACTTCACAGATGTGCAATTGTGCATAGGCTGCCCTGGCTACATATTTGATGCAATGAGCATATTGCCATTACCATTCAAATATTGATAAATATCTTCGGAAATTATTTCTTTAACAACTATATCTCTTTGAAAAGTAGCTACCTTTTAGTAGTGTGCGTGCGTGTGTGTGTGTAGGCAGTGTGTGAACCAACATAGCATGACATATTTGTATAAAGCTCTCTCCCTCTTTGCTTTATTTAGAGTACAGCAAAAATTATGGGAATGGTAAGTTACTATGCATGCTCACAAATCCCTTTCCCAGTTGTGATGGGTTAGTAATAGTGTTATAGTTTTAAGACTTAGTTTTATAGTGTTCACTATGGTTAGATGAAATGTTTCTATCCCAAAATGGTTTTTCTAAAAGCAAATTGTGACTCACATGAAATGTTTCTATCCCAAAATGGTTTTTCTAAAAGCAAATTGTGACTCGGATCTGGTGGAGGAAAGCCTTTTACTCATCTTCCTGTTGCAATATCACAGTGCAACCTTTGAAGAGTGGCCCTTTTGTAGAGAATAATTACCTCTTTATAATAACAAGAACAATTTATCGCTAAGAAAGTAACTCCAAAATAAATTTAACCTTCCAACAACAACCAAAACAATTGTCTTCCAAGGGGTGTTTCCTCTACACAGGTTGTACTGTATTACTTTTATAATGATGTTGCTTGTATTATTATGTTTATATTTATACAGAAACTATTTTAGTTCTATTGTGCAGGAAGCTTATAGCTTAAAGATACACTTTTATATCTGTTCCTGAAACCTTAACCAGTACTGAGCAATAAGTCTAAAGTTTCTTGCTCAAGGAAACAGTGGCTGGCAGTTGACAGGGTTTGAACCTATGTGGATAGCATTTCTTAGATTACTACTAGTAGTCTGACCTGTCTGACCCGTTAACCACTCAGCCATGTCATCACTTGTTTTTAATGCTGAAAGCTATAAGCTTATAGACATACTCTTTGAATCCATTCTTGGAACCAATTAAAACTGAACAGTGTGTGTTAAAATTCTTGCTGAAGGAAACATCAGCTTGCTCCTGACAGGGTTTGAACCGAAACAGTGAATGACAATTGAATTACTAGGATTACTATGACAATTGAATTACTAGGATTACTATGACAATTGAATTACTAGGATTACTATGACAATTGAATTACTAGGATTACTATGACAATTGAATTACTAGGATTACTAAAAGTATGTGTAAACCTTTCAGCCATTTCAATTTAAAAAGGAAATAAATTTGCAGCAGTCATGTATATAGATAATATAAAAATTGTGATTATCCAATGAAAATACATGATACAAACTTTTTTGTGTGTAACTGTAAATTATGAAAGGGGAGTGGTATAATATCTCTTTAAGCAAATACATGTATTGGGATGGGAAATAAAGCAATTTTTTTTTTGAATATTTATTATCTTATTTTTTTTTTGTTCTGTAAAAAGAAAAGTAAAGATAAATTTATGAACTTATGATTTTCATGAAAATTTTCACTTTAAACACTTTCTTTTTATTATTTATGAGACTAGCTAATGTCTCCAAATTGTTTTTCTATTTCTGTTTTAAAGTATTTTAGAATAGCAATTTGATGAACTTTTTTTTAATAAAAAACAAAAACAAAAGAAACAAAAACTTCGGGCCTACCTAAGAGTAGATTTTTTTAGATATAATTAGATACTTATTTAAAATGTAACTCTCCATTTAGATAGTAAATTATAGTAATATATTAGATGAATTTAGAACAGTTTTTAGATAGTTTATAACTTTACATAAATGTAGTTATCTTAAAACACAGTATAATTATTCTATCTTACAGAATTTCCAGTAAAGATTTATTTATATAAGTATTGTGTGATGTGATACTTTGCATACTTTAAATAAATGTAAATTTTATTTTTTTTAATCAATTTAGCAATAATAAATATAACATAGGCAGAAATTTGAACTTTAATGTATTAATATTTTGCATTTCTATTTAACTTTGCTGCGACTTTTGCTAATTCTTGCATTATTTTGTGTCATCTTTGTAATTTTATTTCAATTTAAGAATAGTGTGGCACTCTCATTTAACTATTTCAGCTTCATTTAATTTAATACTTTTTCACTCTATTGCTTTATTGCAAAATTCTAATTAAGAAATTCTGAAGTTTTGATTTGTGTTTAACAAGGTTTAAATTAAATATATTATTACTTCTTTATTTCAATATGTAACTTTCTGCCTCTTGTTTAATATGAAGTAATTTGGTGTTGATTGTAAACAAAACTAATTATAATATTTTGCAAGAAAAAAGATTTGTGAACTCATAATTAATATATTAAACTTTATATTTTACGTTATCAGAAGTTCTGGTGAAATCATTTATTGCAAAAAGATTGGATAAGAACAGAATATGTTTATATTATTAATTTGTTGTAAAATTATTCTTAAGGAATCCTTTGATTTTAGCCATACTGTGCTTTATTATCCGTCTTAAAAGAGTTACAAAAGTTTGTTTAAAGCTTGATTTTTTTATGTCATGATCATCAAGTTTAAATAAATAAGTTTGTTTTTTTTACTCACTGATAATGCATGATTGTACTGAACTTCCGTAATTTAGCAGTATTGAAGGCCTATAAAATTCATAAATCATGCTTAAAATCTGCATGCCAAATCCCACTCTGTCTTCCGTAACCATCATAAAAGATAAAAAATAAAGGGTATTTTTCAATAAGTTTGAAAGATAAAGTAACACTGGTCGTGCTTCGCATTTTAGCTTTCTCATTCTGGTTAAGCATTACCAAGTGAGACAATATATATATTTTTTTTTAGATTTTTTTTAAAGTTTGATTTGCCTTTTTTTGCCTGAATATTTTTATTTACATAATTATTAATTACCAGTATCTGGTCATAAGATTCTTGCTTCAATTTCTCTGGAATTGTTTTATTTGTGTGCAGATTTTTAATTGTGTGATTGTTGTTTTTCTAGTGTTGACCAACTGTTGTGCCAAAGAGAAATGGACCCTGAGATGTTGTTGACCAGTTTAGGATTTGCAGGTGGGGCCCAGACAGACGACGCGTTAGGTCGGGTACCAGATCGTTTCCTTCTCAGCCAGGCTGTAAAACCTGGTGTGGACCAATTACAGCTCATGGTTAATCATCCTGAACTTCATCACCTGATTCCTGTGATGGGAACCAGTCAACTGAGACAGGGCACCAGTCATATGATGCCAGAAACCAGTCTTGTTACTGCAGCAGAAGATCATGTGGATGGTGGAGCAGGGAACCATGAGAAAAGAAAAGGTCAGTTAATCAATCTTTGCAATAAAGGCACTAATGCTGATGCTAATCTTGAAAATTTTGATAAAGATATTCCTATAAGATTTGTAAACAGTAATGAAAATAACGAGGAAAAAATCCCAAATAAGAGTAGAATTCTAGAATTGTGCGGAATTGTACCTGAAAGATATCTTATAACAAATTCCAAAGTGAAAACAGAAAATGCAGGTGCTGATAAAGATACTGCTGCGGAAGGGAATGAAGAGGAACTTAGTGAAAGAAAATCCAAGGAGGATAGAGCAAGTAATACAACTAATGATACACACTGTAGTGCAGACATAAGTCAAAAAGAGAACATACCTCAATATAACCCAGTTTATACAAAATTGGAAAGAAAGGGTAAAGTTTCTGATGAAACAATTGTTGTAGAGGTAGAGATTCATGATCATAGTGCTATGTTAGATAAGACTCTGAAAGAGCATGGTGATACAAATGATAGGGTTAATAGTGCTAGGGAATCAGATAAGCTTACTGCTGATATAGGTAAAGATAAGCAAGGTATTGATGAGTTAAATGGGTTGGTAGAAATGGGTAGGAATACTGATGGTGAGATGGAAGGGCTGAGAAGTTGGTCTTCTACCTCATCTGACTCTTTTGATGATCCATACCTTGATTTAGATGTTGTTGATAAAGAAACTGTTGTTTAAAATGAAACATCCTCATTTTTGTAGATAATACAATTTGTATTGTTGTTCTGAAATTTTGCTGGTTTTCTTATTAATTTGTTAGTGTAAAATCTTTTTGGCAGTTTGAAAAACATACACAATTTTGGTAGATTTGAAATTTTAATGGCGGCATTATAGTCTGTGAATTAATATTCATCTATTGTAGCTTTTCATACAGTTTGTTTTTGTGAGGTTATTCTAGGACAATTAATTTTTCTTGAATGTAATAATTTATTTTTGGGTATGATGCAATTTTTAAAAACTTTTTAGTCAATATTTTTGATTGAAAAATTTAGTTTAGTGAGCTTAAAGACCGTTTTTTCTTGCATTGAACATATTTATATCTGTAATAGTAGTAGTTATGAAGTATTGAAACAGATTGTTGTATCAAATTTGGAGAATTTTATAAACCATTAAGTTTTTTTTAACACCTTTTTTGGCCTTTTTATCTGATATAAATCAACCATTCACACCTTCAAAAGTATTTTTTGCCTCCTTACTAGAATTAGATAAATATATTTCAGGAAAAGATTTCAGGCCAGTATGCAAATCATAAAAATATGTTTTGTATTTTTTAAATAAATTGATCTGAAACTTAACAAATTGACATACATGAGATAATACTTTTATTTCTTGGCTACTATGTTAATATGATTTTATGATTTGTTTTTCCCACCAAGAGAGGGATATACCACTGTCATAAAAATATGAAGTCACTGATCCTCGTTATAGCTGTAAAATGAAAGGCGTTAATCCCAAAACAAATATATATTATTATAATAATCATAAAGAATATAAAAGTGTCATTCCTCACCTACATGATGATGGTTACAAAACCATTTAGACACCTTTGGTTGTATATAAAAAAAAACCATAAGTACAATGAATGTGATGAAATATTGGCCAGATCACATGAGCACCTGAGAGTCATATACAAATGGACATGCCAAATAAATTATCTAGTCATTGTTGTTGCTTACACTTAATATGTCTTTTTAACCACATTATAGGTATAAACATTTTCACCTTATTTCACATCATTTCTTTAAATCATTTTAAACTGTGCACAGCTGTAGGAAAAAAGTCCCATTAGTTTTGAGTTATTAAACATTTTATGTACAGACACTTGTTACCTCTCACTTGAAATTTTCACATCCTTTTGGAAATATTAAAGGAACCCCACTGAGGTTCAAAAGCCAAAAATTGAATTTCTTGCTTAGATCAGCTTGGGTACTTAAAACAGAAAGATATGCAAAAGATAATAGGAAATATACTCAGAAATATATTGAAAATCATAATTTTGTGCTATTTTTATCCCGATTCGAATGTATAGCATTTTTCACAATTAGAATTATCATTCAGGAAAAAACAGCGTGGGTGAATGATTTGAAATTCTGCGCACAAGTTATTGGTCTTGGTCTACATCAAATGGAACTTTGGAACTTCGAAAATTTATTTACGCTCCAGTCATGTCAAAAAAACCTCAGTGGAGTTCCTTTAAGTTTATATACATGCATCACCATTGTGTTAATTTATCATTATAAATGTATAAATCTTCTATAGCATCATTTTCTATTTAGCATTCAGAGTGTGGATCCATCTTTCTCCATTGTCTTGACCCCAAGTTATCTCCCATTACTTTTGGCATACTTTGGCACTATTTAGAATTGATAGCTTTTTATTGGAATTCCTGACTTTTTTTATTGGAATTCCTCACCCTTTTTGTCCTATTTTGTAGAAAAAAAATAGGTTTGAAGCTATAATTAATGGCACCAAAAATAAATCAAGTTGTATATTAAATTTACAAAAAAATGATAATGTTTCATTATATATATATTTCCTTAAGACAGCAATTAATACCTCAGGAATGACTGTTGCCAAATCTTTTGCAATATATTATTTAAAGTGGATAGATATATTCAAGAACTTTATTTTTTAGGCATTTCAGCAGTTTTGAGTAGAAAGTATGTAATTTGTACAGAGCTATAGCATATAAATCTCTGTTAATTATTATAACACTTAAACATACATTATTATCTGTTTAACATATACTTATATTCAAACTGTGTTCAGTCTTTAATTATTTTTTCATGTTACAATTTCAAGTTACTGAATACCATTCAAAATACATTTAATGTACAAATTTGTTTCAATATTTGTGCTAAACAGCTAATGATTTATACATGTATAAATGTTTTGCACAATTATTACATATATGAGCAAGCATAATCTATTCTCTGTTATAAAGAAAAGAAATCATTGAAATATGGGAGAAGGAAATGCCTGGGCCTGAGTCTGCTTCAGTGTATGTAAAGAGATAATATGATGTTTATTACATAATTATTTAATTGGTATACATGTCATATTTTAATGGCTTTATTTTAGACAAATTGTCATTAAATGAGAGTGTGCTGATACTGTATGTTACAGTCAAAATGACATATTGCAATCAAAATGAAATATCATACAATGTGTCATACAATGGAATGTCATGCAAGTGAATATCATACAAAATGTGGAAAGATTATCATAAGTAAATTCATGTTACAATTAAAATGACCAAGAGGGTTGTGGATTAAATTAGGCCTATATTATGTAATGATTTGATAGAAAAATGTACAATGTAAGTTCAGGATGTATCAGTCATTTATATCCATTGTTCCTCTTTGCCAAGATGAAAAGATGCAGTAAGATAAATATTAAGGTTTATTTTTCTGTTTCTGGTACACTTAACTGAGGATGAATGACTAAGGGTTTCATTTGTAAAGGACCTGTGGGGATGGGAGTGGAGAGTGTAGTAGTAAAGTTAACTGTGATGCCATAGAAAAGGGTGATATAAAATGTGATGACACCAAAGTTTTTGTAAGAAAATGCATGTGTTTAGATAGGATAGCATGTGTACAGATGGATCTCCAATAGATTAAAGAAATTTACCCTCCAAGCTTGAATATCCCCCTTCTAGGACATTTGCCCTCCAGTGTAAAAGTGTGAGGACTTGATGTTATTAAGACAAGAAAAGAATGTAAATGTTATGCAATATATAACCAAAAATGCTGTTGGAAATGTGATAATGTGGTAATGGTTTGATGTTCTGTTGAATATGCAACACTGTTGTTTGTCCTTGAACTTGGCAACACTGTTGTTATTCCTTGAACTTGGCATCACTTTTGTTAGTCTTTGGACTTGGCAACACTGTTGTAAGTCCTTGAGCTTGGCAAAACTGTTGTAATTCCTTGACCTTGGCAACACTTTTGTTAGTCTTTGGACTTGGCAACACTGTTGTAAGTCCTTGAGCTTGGCAAAACTGTTGTAAGTCCTTGAACTTGGCAACACTGTTGTTAGTCCTTGAACTTGGCACCACTAGAGCTAAGAATTGAACTTGGCAACACTGTTGCTAGTCCTTGAACTTGCCAAAACTGTTGTTAGTCCTTGAACTTGGCAACACTTGTGCTAGTTCTTGAACATTGCAACATTGTTGTTAGTCCATGAACTTGGCAACACTGTTGCTAGTCCTTGAACTTGGCAACACTGTTGTTAGTCCTTGAACTTGGCAACACTTGTGCTAGTCCTTGAATTTGGCAACACTTGTGCTAGTCCTTGAACTTGGCAACACTGTTGTTAGTCGAACAGATTACTGTTGTGATAGGAACAATGAAATGTGATAGTTAGAAGTAAGGCATTATATTTAATTATGATTTAAAACAAGTGTAGTGTTGTTTGTTGACAATTATGCAGTTGATATTGTGTGTTTTATTGTCATAATTATAAAACATTGTATATTTTTTTTATTTTATAGGGACTTCTATGTTTAGTAGAATAATTATAATGAATATAATCTTCTAATTGACTGGTTGAAATTGATTTGAAATAGAGGTGTTTTATGAGAGCATAAATCATTTTTCTACAATCTCATAACATTTTCTTAAACAAATTCCTGAGTACCCATGACTTTTCTTTTGATTTGGGGTGGCACATTAGAATTTTGGTGATATTATAATGAGAAAAATTAAGAATGGTTATAATGACTTTTGTTTAGATGATAGCATTCATATTACATGTTTTCATGTTTAAATTACATTGTATTTCACTTAATTATACAACCATTAAATAAATGTTGAGACTGCTTAACTGGAATCACTTTGTCATGTCTGTCCATCTGTTGGTCAGTCATATGACCATTTGAATTGTGTCCACTCTGTAACACCAATACTCTTTAAAGGATTTTTTTCAAACTTGGCAGAAATGTTCTCCTCAACAAGGTAATGTGCATAACCCATGCCTCCCTTGTACCGGCTTATG